CTGGTGGTCTCCCCTTTACTGTCTCGCCGTCGCCACTCGCACCGAGGGGGTGATAGCGTGGGCTTCTGTTATTCCTGAATACCGCGCGTTGATTTCAGCGCCCCCTTTTCAACCCTCGAAATTTCATTTCGCCCTCCACATAGAAAGCTCGGGTAGGTGACCGGGGCTGAAATTATAAAAATGACACGCACGGTATCGCCCCCTGCAGCAAGGCTTTAGAAATGTGGGTACTTTTTCTGGCGGTTGGCGATGGAGGCCGATAGAGCGACGGCCTCTAATGGTACTTGAGACCACACGACAAACGTACCGACAGTCCTACTGTGTTATCTACATTACCAGAGATTACAAAAAATTCGTCGGTACATTTTTTTTTCAATGGCGTGTCATAGTTATTGAATGACTAGTTTTGTTTTAATGATTACATAGCCCACAAAATAGACTGAACCCTAAATTTTCCACCGAGTTTATTAACCCTAGGGTTTTAGTGACGTTCCCTTCTATTACAGCGATCCCATTTCGATAATAGGTCTGAATGACGTCGATATTGTGATACTAGGGTCACTGTCTGTAGTCATGGACTCTGCAGCATTTGTGGTCGACATCAAAGTAGGCTCCTATATTCAATGTGGCTACAGGCTACTACAGTCGTTGTGGCTACTACAGCCATTGTGGCTACATGCTACTACAGTCATTGTGGCTACTACAATAGTTGTGGCTACATGCTACTACAGTCATTGTGGCTACTACAATAGTTGTGGCTACTACAATAGTTGTGGCTACATGCTACTACAGTCATTGTGGCTACTACAGACGTTGTGGCTACATGCTACCTCAGTCATTGTGGCTACTACAATAGTTGTGGCTACTACAATAGTTGTGGCTACTACAATAGTTGTGGCTACATGCTACTACAGTCATTGTGGCTACTACAGACGCTGTGGCTACATGCTACCTCAGTCATTGTGGCTACATGCTACTATAGTCATTGTGGCTACTACAGCCGTTGTGGCTACATGCTACTACAGTCATTGTGGCTACTACAGCAGTTGTGGCTACATGCTACTACAGTCATTGTGGCTACTACAGCAGTTGTGGCTACATGCTACTACAGTCATTGTGGCTACAGGCCCCGTTTTATTTTGTGTGTGAATTAGTGGGTGTTTGTGTTGGTTGGTGTGTTGATGGGTGTGTGGGGATGTGGTTGGATTTGTTTTAAAATGTGATGTTGTGGTCAAATCTTAAGCCAGTTGTGTGAGACAGGTGTGTGTGGGAACGATAAAGAACTGCGGGGATGAACCTCTCTCAATTATAGATGTGAGGTATGTTGGATGTGTATGTATGTGTGTTGTATAAATCTACATGTAGAGCAAATTTGATGACGAATGAACCTTTTTTGTGTGTGGAAAAGTCTGTATGTCTGATACAATTATGTTGGGTGTTTAGGTGTGTTTGATGATTAGGTATGTTGGATATTTAGGTATATTTTTAATGAAACTGTATGTTGGATGTTTAGATATGTTGGATGTTTGGTTATGTTAGATATGTAGGTATGTTAGATATGTAGGTATGTTGGATGTTTAGGTATGTTGGATGTTTGGGTATGTTGGATGTTTGGGTATGTTGGATGTTTGGGTATGTTGGATGTTTGGGTATGTTGGATGTTTGGGTATGTTGGATGTTTGGGTATGTTGGATGTTTGGGTATGTTGGATGTTTGGGTATGTTGGATGTTTGGGTATGTTGGATGGTTGGGTATGTTTAATGTTTGGGTATGTTGGATGGTTGGGTATGTTAGATGTTTAGGTATGTTGGATGTTTAGGTATGTTGGATGTTTGGGTATGTTGGATGTTTGGGTATGTTGGATGTTTAGGTATGTTGGATGTGTAGGTATGTTGAATGTTTAAGTATGTTGGATGTTTGGGTATGTTTGATTTCGTCAACTAAATGGACACACGCCTCAAGCTGTGTAATCAGCGATATCACAATTTGAGATATGGTCAGTCCAGTCGGTCATCGACTTTGTTAGGTCAGTTGCCTTCAGGCGGCGGCGTTTTTGAGATAGGAGATAGAAGGGATTCTGTATGTCAGGGGCTTCTTGGTGTCAGGGGCTTCTGGGTGTCAAGGCGTCTGGGGCTTTTAGGTGTCAGGGGTGTCGGATGCTTAAGGTTGTGAAAACCTGATTTATAAGACGATTTATAAGACTTGATATATAAGACTTGATATATAAGACTTGATATATAAGACTTGATATATAAGACTTGATATATAAGACTTGATATATAAGACTTGATATATAAGACTTGATATATAAGACTTGATATATAAGACTTGATATATAAGACTTGATATATAAGACTTGATATATAAGACTTGATATATAAATTTTAATATATAAGACTTGATTTATAAGACGATTTATAAGACTTGATATATAAGACTTGATATATAAGACTTGATATATAAGACTTGATATATAAGACTTGATATATAAGACTTGATATATAAGTTTTTATATATAAGACTTGATATATAAGACTTGATATATAAGACTTGATATATAAGACTTGATATATAAGACTTGATATATAAGACTTGATATATAAGACTTGATATATAAGTTTTTATATATAAGACTTGATATATAAGACTTGATATATAAGACTTGATATATAAGATATAATATGTTACCTTACTCTAGAACATAAAACTGACGTGTATTAAGATGTTTGCCGTAAATAAAGCCACAGCAATACCTCTAAAAACGATGTTTTAATTTGTATAACTGAAAATGTTGCTATAGAACAGTTTGAATGTATTTTATTACTATTGTATCTGTTTTTATAACGCAAAATTAAGGTTAATTAGCGATTGTCTCATTCTCGGGTTCTATCGTCCATTTAGTGGTCAACAAGTAATGACACCTCACCACCCCCCCCCCCCCATTTCTAGCACTTGAAATTTCCGATCAGGAAATGACGTCACAGGATTAGTGTCTGACCAGCAAACGATGCAATCACGTGACAGGCGTTTGATTATGAACCCAAGCCCACGAGATCTTCACCATCTGGAGATAAAACGTCCCCCCCCTCCACTTCCACCCCTGATAATTATCAGGCCCAACGTCCTATGCTGACCGACAAGGGCCGCGCTGAATACCGTGACAGCCCCGTGTCAGGAATGTACTCACTAATTCACTCAAGCAGCGGCCCGACTAGGTAAAACGAAAAATAAAACATACACCTCCCCCACCCCCCCCTCCCCGGAGGTAAAAAAAAACCACGAAACCTAGCCTAGCGCCACTTGCAGCTAATTAATGTTTTGTTTAGTGTTTTTCGTTCAAATAAACAAACCGGGGGGAAATGGAAGGGGGAGATAAACACAGCACACCAGAATGGCGGAAGGATCTGTTTTAAATGTACTGGCGATGTTCTATTGGTACCGGCGGGGAAGGGGAGATCACCGGGCCGGGTGATGGCGACCTTTATTCTAACAGGGACTGAGGTGGGTCGGGTCAAAGATTTAACGCTGAGTTATGAAAGGGAAAATAACATTTTTTTTAGCAATGGAAATTTAAAAAAAAAAAAATTAGTATCACGAAAGATTTGCCAATAGGTAGGGTAAAAATAATAATGCAATTACCGTCGGGGTGGCGAGGGGTGAAAATAAGTGTGACGTGAGGGAAGGTAAGCGAAGAAGCTGTTCAAGGGAGGTGATTTATTACTTCATCTCAATTTTATTGTTTAATTTACAGCCGGTGTAAGGGACGCTACTCCCGCGTTACGTCCTGTGTGACATCACGTGATCGGTGTCAAAATTTGGCGGGAAATAATCGCCGTGTAATAACTGTGATGGGGGATTGGAGAAAAGGTGTATGTGTGAGTGGGGGGGGGGGGGAGCGAGGGACGCTTGTGAAATATGATTCGGAAAATTTATATCTACAATTTTGTAGCCCTGGGGAAGTTGTGTAGGATGGGGAGGGGGTGTGAAGGGAGACAATTTGTACGGCATAATAAGCACAGATTATTCATGTATAAAATATACACGACGGAGGTCACTCGCTCCCCCCCCCCCCTCACAGCACATCAATCCAAATGTACAACTGCAGTTTGGCTTTTATTTTACTCTACTATGTCGTCTAATACATGGAAATAATTATGTTACTAAATAATTCTAGAAACTTTTTTTATACTTTTGAAGATTTCAACTCCAAGAACAACCCTTGAAAGGGTTGGGTAAAGTTGGGTTGGGGTACTTGAAGTAAGCATGAAAAAGGATTCTTCTGAAGTTGATAAATACAGGGGGGTGTAAGGATGTTACGCATGATGAAACACACGGGCAAAGATGGCCATGGGATGATAGTTTGGACGAACCCCGAGTCAGACCTGGATGAAAAGAAGGGAGAATGAAAAAACAACAAACACGCCTCGGTCGCTGGAAGTTCGCGAGGCCCCGGCACATTCTACCACCTAGGTTAGTCTGGGCGTGTTCTCGTGTGGAGCGCGCCTCTCTGTAGGTCTCTCTCTTTTTTTCTTTCTTTCTCTCGACCCTCGCCTCGACAATAGCGGTGGGGCTCGCTGAGGATAGGTTTTGAATAGAAACGTTACTGTTTAGTCTTTTCATACGTTTTCCACGGGAAGTCAGTTTGAAAAAAAAAAGACTTTTTATCTTGATCTACTGCTTAAGTGTGAAGGAGATTTGGAAGCCTAGTTGGGTAGTTGGGGGGGGGGGTCCCAATTCGTTCGCCTGTGTGGCCTAACGAAGTTCGTGGGTAACAAAACGTAGGGGTGATCGTCAGCAGGCGAGCTCTAGGATTACGACGAGCACAATAAAAGACCGGGGCGCCGACTGTCGGGTGAAGGGGGCGGGGCGTAGCAGGCGGGAGACGGAACGGCGAAATCCGCGGTTTTCATTGGCCGCTTGCGACGTCAATCACGTTTCGCGCTGACCTCCCACCGGTCGCTGTTTAGTTTGTCTCGTCACTTACGGCAGTAGATCTGCGGACGAGCGGACGCGGAGGGTTGAATCGCAGTCAAGACCCGACGGTACAAGAGTGAAAGTTTTTGTTGTTTAGTTCAGACTCCAGTGTGTTCTAATTTTAAAAAAAAATTATATTCGTATTGTGATCATTTATACCGTGCTGTTCCCTCGTGCGCTGTGCTACTACTGTGTTATCAAAACTAAGAAGGATATACCAAACTTTGACCAGTCTACAAACAATCGGATTACACACGCTTCTTATGTGGAGTTAAACAGTTTCCTACATTGGTCATCAATGGTCACCACTACATAGTACAAGTGATCGTTTACTTTTTCTGTGGATGTTAATTCAAAGTTAATCAAGAAATGAGTGATGACCACACTGAATTGATTTCATAATATCGGATTACAGCTTGACAAGCCATCCGTAATGAGCATCCAAATGTCGAATGACGGTTCGTGTGACCTGTCCGTCCAGTCGACGCTTGGCGCCCTGCACATCCCCGTGTCGCACACCTTCATCCCCTTCCAGCAGTACTCGCTCTCCGACGCCGCAGGACTCCGGAACCCGTCCGACGACAACAACAACAAATCGGCCTTGCCTGTCGTGTCGGTGGTGACGGCGGTCCCCGGACTGTGTCCGGCTATTCCTGTGGTCAGTATGCAACAACAAGCCCAGCTATGTCAGTCTGTCGTGGCGTCGAACATCATCCCGGCAGTGGTGACGCCCATGACAGTCCAAGCAGCGAACGGGTTGACATCATCCACCACCATGACCATGGCCAACGCCATCAGCATCGCCAACCACCTGGCCATGCCAACAGCCCAGCAGCAGCAAACCATGGCCAACGCCATCAACTTGAGCCCACAAGCCAACAACATCAAGACAAACACCAACAGTTCTTCCATGACACCATCGCACCCTCAACACACCCAGCCCAGCAACAAAAACACAACCAACACCCCCAACTCGAACTCAACTCCCAAAACCGGAAGTTCCAGCAGCGCTAAATCCTCGTCCACTGGCAGCCAGAGCATAAGTTCCGAGCAAGCAGACGATCTGGTCAAGCCTGTCTTCAAAGACGGTGAACTAGTCCTGGAGGTTGAATGCGGCCAGAACAAGGCCATCCTATACCTGTCCAAATTATGCCAGGGAAGCAAAGGACCGTGCATCAGTTTCCAGAGCTCCTGGCTGACCCCCAACGAGTTCCAGTTCGTGTCCGGCCGGGAAACGGCCAAAGACTGGAAGCGGTCAATCCGGCACCACGGGAAAAGCCTGAAACTCTTGTTAGCCAAAGGAATTTTAAACGTGCACCCTACCATGTGCGACTGCGACGGCTGTCGACAGGGAGCCACTTTGGTGAGTCAAGTTAGTCATTTCTCCATCTGTAACTTAGTCATTTCTTGAGCTCTAACTTAGTCATTTTAAATGTTTTGTTCTTTTTATTCTATATCAGTAACTAAAACTGATATTGTACAGCTAACACTTCCTACGTCCATTTATTGATTGTATAAATGATATAAGGATGGCGTATGTATATATGATATAAGGATGGCGTATTTATGTGTGTCAGCCCCGGGCTACATCTTGTTAAGGCACCCAAAATGTGACGCCCTTGTCTAGCAAAAGTCTAGAGTTCCTGGAACAGTTTCCTCTATTGTCCACACAATACCGTCCATCCATCCAGCCCCCCCCCCCCCCTCAATTAACTCTCTATTTATAAAACACGTGTAAGTGGTCACGCAATTAGCGCCGGTCCAGTCTAGATTGTAATACATGACTAAAACAACACGCCTGTTTACGTGTGTGCGGTGTGGGCGCAAAGACAACATTAGCCCTGTCGACGCTGACCCCCCCCCCCCCCCCCAGACATTAACCCTGTGGACGCCGCCCCCTCCCCCACACCAGCATATTGTTTGTGTTTCTGATTAATATAACATGTCAACTTAGGGACGTCTGTCTCTATTTATTCAGACCCCAGCTTTTAAAAATAACAATTCGATGTACGCAATTTTTGTTTAGATTATTTCACTAAAACAATTAGTTAAAAGAGAAGCTGGGGGGGTAGGGGGGGTGGGGGAAGAGGAGGTGACAAACGCTAATCTAAACACAGGAAAAAACAACGGAAAGTTAAGGAAAAATCGATTTGAAACAGAGATAGATCAAATTTCTTGATTTTTTTCCCCTCTCCACACAAGCGAATTTTTACATTGAGAAAATAAAACGTGGGATGGAAATTATTTTTTAAAAATGTTTTCGTTAAGTTAGGGATATTTGTTCAGTAATTGTTCGCAAATGAAAACATCTCAATTTACTTCGTGAGATGGTTATACCTTAACGTTTTTAACTCCTAGGCCGCATGCGCAAACGACACAGAACTGTATTAAAAAACATTACACTAATAATTTGATTTCGCTTGTCTGTAGGCTCGGGTCTTTAATTACATTGGCACGGCGGCTCTTAATGTCTGGGAACTCAACATTCATACGTGGCTCTTTCTGACATTAACGGCTAAACTGTGGGAATCTATCCGGCTTATGGAACCATACGTGCTGTTTGTTTAGACCGTTAAAAATATTAAGTCGTAATCAAGCTTTCTATAACAAAGAACTTGACAGCCTTCTGTCTTTATAGAACTTATTTCCACCGTATTTTAAAATTTATTTATCCATTTTTAAGCCTAATCCAAAGTATATTTAAATCAGTATCGTCCATAACGATACCTAACCCAAACCTGTATGTAACCCCCAGTTCACACACCTGATCCCGGACTTAAATGACCCTACACACGTGTACCCGACATATTGTATTCGTCACATAGTCTGTGTTGGTCCGTACTTACATTTGAGTCGGGCGCATGACTCAAACCCTAGCAAACCCTAGCTCGTCTGTGCCACCCACCCTCTACGATTATTCAAATCAGGTCCCTGGTAACAACGGCGCTATTTTTCTGTACCTAAACACCACGGAGAGAGAGAGAAGAAAAAAAACACCGCACCCACCCCACTGGAAGTAACAGGCCAACGTTTCACCCGATACGGTCGACTCTAAAGCCTCGCTATCGAACCTTGGTCGCCACTCGAGACGGCCCTCGTTCAGCGCTCGTGTCACGGCCCGCCACCCGCGGTCTGTTATCGGCGGGCTGCCGGGTATCGGAGCGGCCGAGCGCTACTCCACGAGATGGGGCCGTGTTCTCGAGCGCCTTACTAGTGTGTACTTGAGTTTTGTTATAAGCGCACCCGAGGGACACAGGGAGGGGGGTATTGCTCGTTACGCCCCCGGGAAACGGGGAGGGGTTGCTGCTAGTTACTAGGCACCCATTGTTACAAGATATGGATTTTACTGTTGTACTCGGCCGATATCTCTACACAAAGTTTGTACCTTTAAAGCAAGTTAACATTCGAAATTCGATGAATTCAATAACCAAACAAAGTAATTAAAAAAAAAGTAGAGATTAAAAAAATAAATTATTACTTGAAGACATTCTCTTTAAATTAAACCACCTACATTTTTAAAAATAGAGAGCCTTTAATTAAATGCTCGTAAATACCCAAATATAGAATGGAAATAATGGTTATTCCTGATAATCCTAGGAAGATGGCAGATATTTTTGTGAAAATATATTTTCAAACATGATGTGTAATTTGTGTTTACAACGCATATTGTATTAAATTCTTCTCTCTGTGTGTGTTATTTGGAGGGGAAGTGGGTGTGGCATCAGCAATTTGAATTAATCGTTAAGATAAACTGTACCGTGCCTGTCCATTTCGAGAATAAATTACCTGTTAATTTCTGTCTCGAAACGGCACGTGCTTACACGGGGCGGAAAATGTCTAGACATGCCGGCACAGCACAGCGCGTCATCTCGTGTCACAGCCCTCGCCAGTCGCCTCAGTTCACGACCGTCGCGAGTCTGCTGGACACGTGTTGATGAGGCTCGGACCTTGTTTGGTCGCGGAACAACATCAACAGTCAGCGGTGACGTGTCTGTCCATTGTATCCCCGTCCTGTCTTCACCCTCAGGGTGTTTTGCTGGAAAATAAATATTTTCTCCCCCCCCCCCCTTGCCCAAATGTTTATTTACAGTAGTAGAACCAGCACTACTTTTAAAGTCATAAACTTGAGGATACTCAAACAAATATTCAAACATTTTCTTTCTTTAATTGCATTTAGCATTTGTTAATTTTGAATAATGTTATGTTTTTTAGAAATATTTTTATTGTCCTAGGCAAGTTTTATAACCGTTTTTTTTTAATTTTTAGAGTTACTACTAGATCAAAAAGAAAACTAACCCGTAAGCTAAATAAACTGTCCGATAATAAAAATTTAAGTGTTATAATATAACAATTTAAGTGTTATAATATAACAATTTAAGTGTTATAATATAACACTTTGTTTCCTGCTCGCGGTTGAATTCAGTTTTTTATCCCCGCCACGCATTAAATACGCGTCGAGTGACTACATTTTCAAGCCGTACGTAATTACTCAAGTGGTTGATTGTTTATTACTGGGGGAAAACGAGGGCTTTAACCTCTTAAATAAGATATTGATTTATCACGCGACGAGACAGCGACCAACGCTAGACTGCTGTATTTTTTTTTCTTAGAGCTTCGACGTTTTTTTTAAATCGAAGTAAGTTTGAGCCCCCAAACTGTAGTTTTATCACATACTGGAGCACGTATATGCGCTTGTTTAGCAATACCAGGCATAAGCCACCCCTTGGTTAGAGTTTTGTCCCTTAGTCTAGATAGACTCCCCTTGTCGTGGTTATCCCCCCCCTTCCCCTCACCCCTCTACACGTGCTGTACTGTGAGATTACCATGTGTCCTTACACCTTGAAACCATCACCAGCAGTCAGTTACATTACAATACACCTATGTATCCCCGCGTGTCAACGGTTTGCGGTGGTCCACCCTCCCCACCCACCAGATTGCCACTTGCCACTCGGCGTTAAAACCTGGCATGCCCTCTCCCGGCTCCTCGGCCATTGAAGCAGTACAGAAGGGAAATGAACGAGCTAGCACGAACTGGCGAGACGCACCGCGGTGTGAAAATATGGAAATTGAAATTAACAATGTTTAACTTGAAACCATCGGACAAAACGTGCCATCACCTCCAGCCGACAGGCCGCAAACATGCAAACATCCAACATGGCGCACAAAGCCTAATAAGTCAGGGGGGTGGTTTTATGTTCAGGGGAGGGTTGGGAGGCCATTTATATCTTTTCTAAATAAAAAAAAATAAAGCTCCCGGAAAAGGCATACTTTATATGGTTGTAGTTTTTTTTGTTAGTTTAAATTTTTTTTTGTTGAAACAGCCAATCTAATCTTAATATTTAAAAATTGTTTAAAAAAGAAATGTTAATTTAAGACACGACGTTCACTTACTATCGCACAGCCCCTTAACAACAAACCCCATCCTACTTGATAAAACGTCACCCCCACCACCACCACTAAATAACACCCCCCCTCCCACCGTCTTGCTAGCATGTCTCATCTATCTTATAAATTAAAACTGGAGATTGCCTTTTGCAAGGTGGTGTGGGTTACGTGGGGATGGGGGTGGGAGATGTGTGTATGTGTGTGTGCGAGGTGGGGGGGGGGGGAGTTGGCCAGTTAATAAACAAGGGGAAATAAGCCTCACACGGACAACCCGTGACGTCATCTCATTCCAAAACTTGTTAGTGCCATCTCTCAGATGAAACCTAACTCAAGCTAGCCAGTGGCCGTTTTTTTTTCTCACACTATCCTTGTACCGCTAACAGTAAAAATAATTACTTTAAAATTTAAAATAGGAAGAAAAAATATTATGAATGGGAAAAAAAAAATCTACTAAAAAATTTCAGGCTGTAGACAGCTTATCTTAAACCGCGAGGGTTAAACGAGTGCTGACTTGGACATGAAACTCACGTGTTCAATTTAGTCCTGTATTCTAGGCGAGTACACATTTGAATTTTATAAGCTCTGACGTGGGAGCGGCCCGACCTTAGCTTTTGCACCGGCTCATTGGCGCCCCCTGGGGAGGGGAGGCTGTATGGGTGCACCCATGTGGAGGTTTATGCACTATAAATATAGGCTCATACAATATACATATTGGCTTATACAATATACAAATAATAAAAAAATTAAAAAATATTTTTTAAAAATTCATCATGCACCCCATAATACTACGTCCGCCCCCCCCCCCCTACTTGCGAACCCCTCTCCCCCTCCCAGGACGAACCGTTCACGCCCTATGAGCGCCTGAGCTTTGGCCGCGATGCCAAGTCACGCACGCACTGGCTTATGTCTGCCGGGCCGGGTGGCCGCTTTCGGACACATTTCCAGGGCTTTAAAACTTTAATGCTGCCGTGACTGGAG